TTATATAGAGTTTCAGGGTCCTGGCCAGATACCCTAACTGGAAACCTGGATATTGCTGATGTGACTTGTTGGACTGAATTGCTATATACAAAAGAGCTTAGGATCTGGGAGGCAAGCCCCCTCCAGATTCAGTTTGCAGGCATGGCACTCTTCTTCCTGCCCTTGGAGAGGAGCTGAGGAGTGGAATCCTGGGGCTGGCAGAGATGGGCATTGTTGGGGATTTGAGGATGGAGTCAGAACAGGCTGTGCAAGATCAACAACATTCCTGAGAGGCAAAAATCCCAAATGAAGTACATAAGAATCTGCTGATGGCAGGCATAGAGATTAACTCTTGGGGCCAGAGCAGGTTCACTTGGGGACTGAATCAGCAAGTAATGTGTGCAAATGTAGAGGGTGATGAGCTGTGTGAAGCCATGGCATCTGGCATTGGTAGGGATAGGGATCAATGTCCAGGTCCTGACAAGAATCATTCAGAATTGGACTTTTAAGGTGTAGGGTTTTGTTGTTTTGGGACTGGGATGGGTGACAGATGTTCACTGACCCACTATTGTTTATTACATTCATTTGACACCTGTGTTTATGGCTTGGGCATTTCATATCTTACAAGGCTCTGAATTTTGTTCAGAGATGGCTGTGATTCTATAGAGGTATGTCTCTGGACAAAGATCATCCTCAGTGTTGTGGAGTGAGATACCAATTGTGTTGGAGTCAGAGGGACTTTGGAAAGGAGTATGTGGACAAGCATAAGTGCCTGTTATGGGGCCTGGATGTGCTACCATCTCATACTTCTAAATTTTGGCCTGTTCTGGAAATATGCCTTGGAAGGGTTTCTGAGAGAAGGAGGCCTCTAGGGGTGGTAGATTTCCACGACCCTGTCTGCAGGTTGTGGTAATCTGTGTGTGAAATTAATCACTGGGGACACCACTTCTACTAGCATTTTAAGTTCTGAAGTGAGATGGTCTAGCCAGCTGGGATGAATTCATTAGCACCCTGGGAAGGCCTTGAAGCATCAATCTCCTGCTTTCCAGCTCACATTTCCCCAGATCCTGGCTGTACGCGATAGCAAAATATCCCACCTCAGTGTGGTGGTCTACAGTTCTCCCTGGGAACACAACTGTCTGTCCCAGTGTTTGCTGGTGGCCCGTGGGGCTTATTCATGGGTTTAGCGAGCAGAGTATTTTAAAAACTCGGACTTCCCTTTGTTGGGGTGGGTACTCTCTGGTTGTCAGCCCCACCATTCCTTCTTGCATTACGAGTTTAGGCATTAAACTTTGCCGCCCTGGACCAAGAGCTCTGGGACTCAGCATGAGTCTGCACTAGTGGTTGTGTTGGCTCAGGATGCTACTATGTCTTCTAAACTTTGGGGGTTTAGGGAGTGGTGCCTTGATGGATGCTGGTTGTCCTCCCTGGAACTTGGGAAAAGTGAGACCTGGAGCATACAAGACAGGATCCATCTAAACTCAGAGCAATGCCACCTCCAATGGAGGGTGCCCTGGGCTGCAGCTACTCAGGAAGAGATCTAAGCAACACCCAAAGCAGACTCTTGAGACCCCCATGTGATCAGCATGAAAAGAAAATATTAGAGGGAAAATGAATTTCTTCATGAAAATAAGTGGGGGATTTCCTTCGTTGTAACTCTCAATCTTCTGTCCCCACAGAAAAATTAAATCAATCACAAAAGTGGGTTTTGTGTATGTGTGTGAAGTTCAGTGTGTTTGACAAAATCTCTACTGGTGTGTGCTCCTAACTCTGGCAGTGAGCTGAACATATTTTGAGAAAGCTAATCATTTCTGTCTCTCTGACCTATGATGGGCCTGGTGGTTAAACTAATTGAAGTAAGTCTTAATGAATTCTAGTGGACTTCCAGAGGGAATATTTATATGAATTTTATAAAAGTCTTATCTCGTTGGTCCCACATAGATACAGAGGAGAACGGCAAGAATTGAGTGGAAGGGTCTCTCAAAGATAGAGACAGGACTTCTCTGATGTGCTACTGACCTCCCTTGAGACAGACTGCTCTTTGGGTTAGCAGAGAGGCATTGAGTACTGGGACCACATAAGCTAGCCCCTGAGGGAAGTCACTGCGTCCTCCTACCCTCCACCTTCTCTGCTTGTTCTAATCTCCAGGTTATCCCATTGCACTGGATTAGCAATAAAATGGATTCCAAAGACACAGTGTTAAAGGTAGATCTTTCAATGGGAGGGTAGGGTCTATAAATATGACTTGATTATTTTGGGGACCTCTTCTACTCCTCTTTGGATCCCTTCTTTCCTTTTTGGAAGACTTTGTTCCCCAAGAATATATTGTTCTAGCAACACCAGTGTGGAAGATGGGCCTGGGGCACCTGCCTCATTGGGGTGTTCTGAGGTGAGAAGAACCTAAGAGAGTTTTCCTGCATCATGCAATTTGGAGTTGGTCCCCAAGGGAAGAGACAGACCATGTGGGACTTGGTGGCCAAAGCCCTGCTCATAATAAAGGAGCTCATTTGCTGGAAGATCATCTGTGCAGCTCTCCCTATAGATGTGAGATGGCAAGGCTATGGTCACAATGCTGGGTTCTAATCTCACACTTCAAAGCAGGATTGACAATTATGAGCACAATTTAGATGGGAAGAAATGTAACTTTCTACATTGAATTCTACTTTTGAGAACCCAGTAAGACCCTCTGACTCAGATGGTGGCAAGACTGGTTTACCTCATTAAGGGTAAGTACTTCTTTGAGTAAATACTATGTCTGTTTAATGTTCAGAATCCCCATGGAGCTTTCTTGTCTCTTATGCCAGCTCTCCTAGGAGATCCTCTCATCCTCCTTTAGGTACAGCAAAGTGTATGTACTATGGAGGCTGGAATGGGAATGCTCACGTGTATTTCCCCAGCTAGTCCTTGGGCCCCCGGTCTTGTTGAGCTGACATCTGCTGTGGATGTCCTTGATCCCATTGTGGCTTCTCTTCTCTAGGCCAGGCTTGCTCGGCTTTCTCCCTTTAGAACCCAGACATCTTCTGGTCTCCCTGACTCCCCCACTGCCAGATGGGCTATGCAGCTGCCCTCAGGTATGTACTTGATGATGTCCCTCAGGCATGTGGTCTCTAAACTTCCATGAGAGGCTATACCCCACAAAATGGTATGAATCCTTGCTTTCCTCAGATTCTTCTTTACCTTTCTGTCCCCTTATGTAATTCTTCCCCATCCCTGGGTCAAGGCCTGGGATGGCGGGGTGTAGGACCCCTTTCCAAGGATCAAGCAGCTTCTACAAACTATTTGTCTATCCCCTCTGAATAACTACTTCCTGCTGTTTCAACTTTCATCTCCATTTTTGGTTGTAGGAATTCTTCCCCACATCATATCTTGCCTCCTCCCTGCTTTGTGTCCACCTGAGCTGCCATCTGAGGTCTGGTCCACCAGAACCCACGTGTTTTTTCCAACAAAGTCAGCTTCTCTCAAATGAGAGCCTTGCTTTTCAGACTACTATTGCTGGGAACTGAATTCTGAAGCTAAGTAAGCAAGGGCTTCTGGTTGGTATCTATCTACCTCTCTCCCTGCACCCACCCCCAAGCCTTGGCTCAGTGGGTGGAGGGTAAGGTACATTGGATGATATGTCAAGCCATGCAGCTAGACAACCAACGACAGCAGCATGCCCACCTTATCAGAGGGGCTGAGTAGCAAGCTGAGTCTGTTTCTCAGACCACCCTCTTCCTGGACCCTCAACTATTCAGATGAGGTCAACAGGCATTTTTTTTTTTTTTAATGAACTGTGAGAATAAAGCAACATCAATAATCTCCAGCAAGTTTTCATTTTCTGATTCTTCAGTATTACATTTCTGGAATTTTCTGGTAAATACTTAAAACCAAACTAAGACAATAATCTGTAATACACTAGACTCTAGGCTATAGGATCAAATTAACCTTTACCTCTTCGGAAAAACCCAGCAATACCTGAATTTGTCTCTTAGGTTTTTTGTTGTTGTTGTTGTTGTTTTAAACTTTTTTTTTTTTTAAGATTTTATTCATTTATTTGTCAGAGTGAGCACAGGCAGACAGAGTGGCAGGCAGAGGCAGATGGAGAAGCAGGCTCCCGCTGAGCAAGGAGCCCGATGTGAGACTCGATCCCAGGACGCTGGGATCATGACCTGAACCAAAGGCAGCTGCTTAACCAACTGAGCAACACAGGCGTCCCATCTCTTAGGTTTAACATACTCTGGATATGTGAAAATTTTTTAAAAATGAAACTTTTAAAGCTAAACTGGAACTCAGTGTTAACTTAATCATGTATATAGTGGGAGGACTTGATCAAGATCAGAAAAGTTGTTGATACTTATTTTGTGCTGGGCATGATTCCTGGTGGTGTATATATACTAACTTATTTAATTTGCATGACCATCCTGTGCTGTATAATTATATCCATTTTACCCATCAGGAAACTAGAAAACAGAAGTTAAGGAACTTGCCCAGTATCCCCTGGGTGGGTAAAGGATAGAATTAGGGCATGTAGGTAATAGTGTTAAACTCTTTACTGCCTTTCATTCTAACAAAACTCACCCTTTAAATATAGAGGAGACTGGGCTAGGAAATAGGTAAATGTGTTTTTATAAACTGAATTAAAGCATATGACTACAGTGCTATATTATCCACAATGATTGATTGGAGTGACTTTGTTTTTCATCACATTTTTTTTTTCTTCAAGTTGAGATTTCAGAATACTAAGACCCAAAATGATCTTACCATCTTAGTAATGGAAATATACTAAAAGGCTTCTAAATTTTTTTCTACAACTGAATTAAGAAATTATCACATTTATATACTACTGTATGTTCTGTTTCTTCTTATTCTATCATTAACATGTAGTCTTTATTATAAGTTTTAATGGTCCATTAAATAGAATGGTTTTCTAATTTTTGGACACTTAAGTTGTGTTCAGTATTTTGTTCTCATAAACATGGCAAATAGCCTGATGTGTTTACCTATTTCTTCCTTTCCTTTTTCTTTTCCTTTCTCTTTTTTAGGATAGATTCATAGAAGTGGAAGTCCTGAGTCACAGGTAGGTACAATCTATGACTTGATGCATGAGGCCACTTAAAATACCATCAGTTTTTAGGGCCAATTTCACTATATCCTTGCTAACAGTGGGATTTATTAAAATGATAGAATTTTCATAGGTAAAACCCGGTATCTTTCCATTTAAACAGTTTTGGTTACTAATGAAACATTTCTTACATAGTTCTTTTGGTACTGTCTGTTTTTATTGTTTAGCCATTTATAAGGGACTCTCTTCTCTGTTACAGGCTCCCCCAAATATGAAAAGTGAAAAGGACAGCCCAGGGCTACCTTCTAGAGACAAATAAATGCAGTCTTGAAAGTTGAAGTCTCTTAAAAAATTGTGATAATTCAAAGTTTAACAATTACCCTTTAAATGGCCTAACTTGTCACATACTTACTCAACTCTTTTTCCTTAATCTCATGCTTTGAAAAAATAGATCTCAGAGTCTTTAGCCTTCATGCTTATCCTTCAGCCCTATGCAGCTTCCATTCTCATCTTTTCAGGACTTATATCTAATATCTTTCATTCTGTCTGTTTTCATCACTTAAAGAATAAGTGCCTATTACCCTTCCCGGGGAAATTAACCTTTAATAGGAATGTAAACTCAAGCTAGAAGAGTATGGAGTGGTAGGCTTTGGCCACTGGCAGTAACAGTTTTCAAGGCTGTCTAAAAACCCAGCTAAGGCCATAACCCTGAGCATAGAGACAGTCTTCATCTTTATAACATTTCTCATCTAGCACTTAACATATGCTGTATCTGTTCCCATACTTTACATATGTTACCTTGCTCTCATAACAGTCCTATGAGATAGACCTGCTGGTCCCTGTTGTACAGGTGGAGAAACCAAGACACAAAGTGTGTATCTCCTTGGGCTGACAAAATAAAAATCCTGTACTGGGTGGCTTTAAACAATGGTTTAACAGTTCTGGAGGCTGAGAAGTCCAAGATCAAGGTCAGATGGGTTTTGGTTTCTGGTGAGGTTGTTCTTGCTGGTTTGCAGACTTCTCTCTGTGGCTTCACATGGTAGGGTGGGAGTGGGTGGAGAGACTGAGCAGTGGTGTGCGTGAGTGAGCAAACTCTTGTCTCCCTTCCTCATAGAAGGACACCAATCCTATTGGATTAAGAACCCCAACCTTATGACCTCATTTAAACTTAGCAACCACCCAAAACCCCTATCTCTAAGTACAGTCATATTGGGGGTTAGGCTTCAACATATGAATCTGGTGGGGGGGGGAGACACAATTCAGTCCATGGCTTTTGGCCCCTGACTCTAAAAGTTCATGCTCTTAACACATGCAAAATACATTCAACAGCTCCAAAAGTCTTAACTGGTTCTAGCATGAGTTCTAAAGTCTGAAGTTCAAAGTCTCATCTAAATATCCTCTAAATCATGTATGGGTGAGAGTTGAGGTAGGATTCATCCTGAGGTGAAATTCTCTTCCAGCCATGAGTCTGTGAAACCAGCTAAGTATGTGCTTCCAAAATACAGTGGTGAACAGGCATAGGACAGACATTCCCATTCAAAGGGAAGAAATCAGAAAGAAGAAAGTGATGGGTTCCAGGCAATTCCCAAACCTGGCAAGGCAAATACCATTATATCTTAAGCCTTATACCTCTTTGGCTCAGTGTCCTACCTTCCAGGTCCACTGAGGTGGAAGCATCAACCTACACAGCTCTGGAGTGGCCCTGCCCCCTGAAGTCTGGAGGAAACCAACCTGACCCCTGGGTCTGTGGTTGGAATGGCAGCCCTGGTGATCTCTGAATCATCTTTGGGGTCCTTCTTCCCTTTCCTGGAAGAGCAGTGCACATTTGCAACTGAGTAGCTTTGTGGTCTCATCCTGTAAGATCCAAGGAATTCGACAGCCTTCCTTCATTATGTCCTGCTTTAGTTCAATCTAGCACTCTCTCTTTTGGAAAAACCCATCTATTCCTAGCCTCTGCTAAGATGACTGATAAGGTCCATAAGTTACACTCCATGACCTCTTTATCAAATGGTTATTCAGCCATACCCTTAGTGCTGTTTTCAGAACAAGCTTTTTCACTTTTGGCAACATGGATGGACTGAGAATTTTCCCATTCTTCAGCTCTGATTCCTTTGTGTTTAATGATTCTTCCTTTAATTCATCTCTCCTCTTGTATTTTACTATAAGCAGTAAGAAGGACCCTAGTTGCACTTAACACTATTTTGCTTAGAAATCTCCTCTGTAAAATATCTAATTTTATCACTTGTAAGTTCTACCTTCTACAGAACAGTAGGACACAATTTAGTCACGTTCTCTGCCACTTTATAATAGGAATTACCTTTCCTCTGGAGTCTGGGACCTTTCTACCAGTGTGGGTGCTGCTTCACCACCCCACCCTATATGGTTCTTCCCTGGGGTTAGGGCTGCTGATTGTCTCATTCTGATCAGTAATAAGACTAAGTACTTACACTTGGTATCCTATTTTGTCTTCATGACAACCCTGGATGGTAGGAGACTTAGTTTTCTGGGGTTGCCATAACAAAGTACTGGGTGGCTTGAACCAGAAGTTTACCCGAGATCAAGAAATCAGGGTGTCAAGAGAGTTGGTTTTCCTCTCCTTGGCTGTGGGTGGTTGACTTCTCCCTGTGCCTTCACATGGTCTTCTGTCTGTGCCAGTCATGTCCACATTTCCTCTTATACCCATCCTATTGGATTAGGACCTATCCACATCACCTACTTTTTTAATCTTTTAAATATCTCATTGATTTATCTCCATTATCTCTTTGAAGACCCCATCTCCAATTACAGTCACATTTTGAGGTTCTGGAGGTTAGGTCTTCAACATAGCAATTGGCGAAAGGGGTTTGGTAGGGGGAGCACCATTCAGCCCACAGCAGAGGGCAAGGGCTGTTACCCTTATTGTACAGCTAGAAAGTGAAACATGGGTCGGTTTTTCCTCGGTGCACACAGTCACTAGGAGTGAGACTGGAGCCCCAGGTCCTGGACTCCCAGTTCATTTTCTTTCCACAGCAGGCCTCAGCCACAGGTTGGCTGTACTTTCGCCTGTTTGGAGAGGGGCATCTTCAGGAAACCTAGACTTAGAATTTGTCATTGGTCTTGCTTTGAAAGCACTGTCTTTCCTCCCTTCTTCTTAAATTTGATTTCCCTCAAAGTAGGCCATGATTTATAGTTTATTTGGGAGACAAGCCCAGGAACCACCAATAGGAGAGTGGGGAAGTAATATAGGGAAGAAAAGCCAGACTATGAAAGATGCATGACTGGGCAGGTTGCTACTGTGGGCCACTGGGTCTTAGTCCTGCTGAGGCACTCTGGGAGACTATGTACAACATGCTTCAGAGGTGTCCTTCCAACATTTAGGAATGAGGGAGCCAGGCTGTTCCTCAACTCCTGATGGTCATTGTTTGAGAGCTGATCCTCTGGGGGTCAATCCCTCCAGCACCTCTGACATGCCCTAGAGAAGGCCATTGATAACTATGCCTGTGCCTGGAGGGTGCTAAGGCACTGTATTAGTTATCTATTGCTGTGTAACAAATTACTACAAACATAGTAACTTAACACATTCATTATCTCACCATTTCAGTGGATCAGGAGTCACACCTGGGCATGGCTTAGCTGGGTCTTCTCCTTTAAGCTCACTCTCAAGGCAGAAATCAAGGTATTAGTCTGGGCTGGGGTCTCAGCTGAAGGCTTGACTGGGGAAGGATCTGCTTCCAAGTTCATTCCTCTAGGACTTATGGACTGATGTTTTAGCTGGTGGTTGACCAGGTGTCACCTACAGTTCCTTGCTGTGTAGCTCTTCTTAGCATTGCTACTTAATCAAAGCATACAAACCAAGAAGGCAATCAAGAAAGTCAGCAAGATGAAGAATCTTATGTAAGGCAATCACAGAAGCGATATCCCATCCTCTTTGCTGTATTCTGTTGCTTAGGATCAAGTCACAGGTCCTGCCACACCTAAGAGGGAGGGGATTACACAAGGACATGAATACCAGGAGGTGGAGGCACTATGGTCTGTTACACAGCCATCTGCTCACTTGATAAGTTATTGCTGACTGGAAACATTTTTTGTCAAGAGACCTCAGGATTAGAAATAATTTTACTGCAAATCAGTCAGAAAATCTAATTTTAAACTAAAATTTATTTATCAATATTTATTTGACGTGGTCATTGGGGGCTAGTCAGATGTGATTTTTCTGGACTTGACATGGATTCTTCTGTGCTTTCCTGTCCCTAGTTAGGGGCTAGGCATCTTGGGTTTTCTGTGGTAGGGACTCTGAATTCTTATGATCTTCCCAGGATAGCCTGTGGAGCCAACTGCAGTTCTTGTTCCTTCTGTAGGATTTCAAGGTGAATTTGGAATTGAGTGAGAACTTCGGGAACTTCAGCTAAAATTCCATATAGGTTCTTAATATGGAAATTTATATACTGAAGTCTTGCTTCCTATCTGATATTTGAACAATTCCTATAGCCACAGGATGGCATTAATCTTTCCAGCACTTGTCACATCCAGATGGCATATAAGAGAAGATGGCGGATTTTTTATTTATTTAATTAATTTATTTATTTTAAGAAGAAAGAATCACTTTTTTGGGAAAAGAATATATCAGCCTTATCAACTTTATCAGTGTCTTGTTCTAGTTCTGCATTTTTAAAAAAGATTTTATTTATTTATTTGACAGAGAGAGACCCAGCAGGAGAGGGAACACAAAAGGGGAGCGGGAGAGGGAGAAGGCTTCCCACCGAGCAGGGAGCCCGACGTGGGGCTTGGTCCCAGGACCCTGGGATCCTGATCCGAACCGAAGGCAGACACCTAATGACTGAGCCACCCAGAAGCCCCCTCGTTCTGCATTTTAAAGTTGTTTTTTTTTGTTTTTTTTTTTTTTTTTTTTGTCTCCTTCCAGAAGCCATGTGCAGGATAGTGGTTAGGGCTTATGAGCTCTGGAGCCGTATTGTGTGTGTTTGAATCTTTGCTCAACCACTCACTAACTGTGTGACCTTTGGCCAGTTACCTCTCTGTGTGTCAATCTCTTCAACTGTAAAATGGGATAATGATAGTACTGTCTTTATGGCATTCTTGTGAGGATTAAATGAATAAAAATGGACAGAACACTGGCAGGAGCCAACAAGAGTGTGCAAATTTAGTTTGAGAAAGCTAAATAATACATCAGGAAGAGAAATTTTTGAGTGATGGAGATGACTAAGGGGATTTATGAAGCTTGTTATTTCTGGACTAAACAAAAATTCTCTATTCCCTTTTTGGATTCTATTTCCGAAAAGGGCCCTCCATAACTATGATTTCAGAGCTCTGGAGAAGATGTTCTTAACTCCTTAGATCTCCTCCCTCAGCACCAATAATACGTAGCCACCTGAAGTGTCTCAATAAACACATGACTTCCTGGTTCTGGCCAGACGGAACTTGGATCTTCGTGACTCAGCTGCTTATAATTCTAGCAGGTTTTGACAGGAGAATGGGGAAAAAAGCTTGTGGATTCAGCAATTCTGAAAGTGAAATGGGAGTGAGTGAGAAGCTCTGGGTAAGAAAGGAGGGGATAGAGACTGGGGGGATGAAGGGGCTGGAAGAGCTAAAGCAGAAAGACACAATTTACTCTGGCATCTGAGATGGAGTATTGGCCAGTTCTTGGGTTGTGGTGGCCATCTTCTCTTTTTCCACACCAGGAGTAGCTCACATAGAGGGGCATTTCTTACATGTCAGAGTACAAAGGAATTACTAGGGATGCTTGTTAAATAAAAAGGTTCCTAGGTCCACCTCCAGAAATTGTTTCTGTGGCAGCCCTGTGATGGAGATTGGTGGGTTTTATGGGAGCATCTAAAGGTGGTGGTGGTCTAGAGCTAGAATGAGCAGAGGGGCCATGATCTGGTTGGGGGAAATGACCAGGGGCTTTTCCGGAAGCCATACTTGCCCTGCAATCAACATTAAAACAAACAAAAAACCATGTGGAGTGAATGCTGATTTGGGGAAGCTGGTGGAGCTGGGTAGGGGGAGTGGTTTCTAAAGTCCTAAGTTACCACGTGACATTCCTACTGTGAGGGCATATTGAGAGAAACTGTCAGAAAGTAGAAGTGGAAGATGCTTTAGGTATGCTGTCATTTTACAGACTGAGACAGTACTGCCCAGAAAGGTTAAATGATTTCATCAAAGTCACACAGCTAGTTAATGGCAGGTCTGAGACTGTAATCAAGTATTCTGGTTCTCCACCCAGTACCCTATTCACTGAATACCTGTTCCCTCTGGGATGAGGAGGGGTTGAGAGGAGAAAGTAATGAGAATTGGAGGGAGCTGGGCGCACAGCCCCAGACCACAGGACAACAAAAAATTTTGCTATAGTAGAAGAATTAGAATAGTTATTAACTTGGGCTCAGAATTCAAATGGTCAACAATTGCTATTAAAACCCCTAATAGTTAATTTTTTAAAGGCAGTAGTTAATTTTCTAAAGGCAGATTTCCCCGGGAATAAATGTTCCAGCTGTAGGACTTTTTTTTTTTTTTTTTTTTTTAATCCCAGTGAGAATATATCGTTAAAGGAAGCTCACGTTTCAGATTTCCTTCCTAGTAATAAAATCCTCATACTAGCTCTTGGCTAAGTTCGTAGTGCCCGAGCGGACGTGGGCAGAGGCCAGGCGGCGGGACTGCGGCAGCGCGGGCGGCGGGCAATGCGGGTGGGGGCACTGCAGCATCGCGGCCCTGGGGCAGCCGGGCAGCGGCCCGCTAGAGGGGGCGCTGTGGGCGCCGCCAGGCGTCCTTTTGTCAGCGCGCACGGCCAAGAGAGCTCTCATTTCCTCCCAGCCTTGTGCGGGAAATGGATTTAATTCTGACCGCAGGGCTGTAAGGGACGAGCGTGAACGACAGCCTTTTGTCAAGGAGTAGCGGCTTCTGTTGTCTGTAATCACCGCTGACGCGGGGAAGCTGCACTGCTGGTGGAATTCCAGGCAGCTCTGACAAGTGTGGGGCTGCGGGATGGGAAGAAAACATTGCTCTGCAGATTAGCTGGGTGCATTTATTAAGCAGACACCCAAAGGAAAAGACAACAAAGCAAAACAGCAACCCGCCGTGGAAGACCAGGGATGGATAAGATGCTGTGCAGGAGGTAAGCCCGGCTTGGGAACGGGCGTCGTGGCTTGCCTTGGTTTTGTTTCTTTTGATGGAATTTGAGACCCCTACAGCAACCGTCCGTCCACTGTGCGCGAGCTGGTTGGTCCCGATTGTCGAGGGTCTGCTTGTGTGTGTGTGTGTGTGTGTGTGAGTGTGAGAGATGCCGCCCTTCCCCACGGCTGTGTGTTTTGTGTCTAAAGGTTTCTGTGGATGATGTAAAATTGGAGGATCTCCGGAAAGATACTCCGGGGCTGAGTAGGGCTGGCCTCTGCGTGGGGACGGTGGGACGCCCTCGCTCCGAGCGCCACGCCTGACAGGTGGGGCATTCTTCTGGGTCAGGGCTGGCGGGCGGCAAGCGTCGCTTCACGGGGGCTGCCCCTCCCTAACCTTCCTGCTTGGCCGCCGCCCTCCGGGGGAGCCGTGAGGAGTGCTCGGCGGGCTGGGCGCGTCCCCCGGGCGTCGTCAAGGCTCGAGGCGGGGCGCTCTGCTGCAGCTGCGAGGCAGCAGGTGCGGCATCGGCGGCGGCCTGCATTTGGAGCAGGGGAGCTGGCACGTGAGCGGGCCCCAGTGGATCTGGATTTTTATGCCACTCCACCACTTTGGAGGGAAAAAGGGCCACTGTCCCCAAGAGGTCTTGCCAGTCTGTTCCTCCCTTAGCTTTCATCTTCCCTCCCCCTCTATTTTCCTGCCTCCTCTCCCCTCCTGCCCCCGGGTTGGAGACCACCCTTGGTCCGGGAGGCCGGGTGGGGTGGGGGGCGGGCAGCTTCTGCCAGTTTTGAAATCACAACCACTGAGCTACCAGGTGTTAGGTTTGGGATGGAGTGGGGGCGGGGCAGACTGCTTTAGGATGCCGATCAGGCGCTCTGTCTAGCCTATTGTCTTGCTTTTTCTCCCCCTTCCTTTTCTTCTATAATCTCCACCCCTCGCCAAAGAGAGGGAGAAAGAAAGACCGAGAGAGAAAGCCCCAGGAGAGAGAGGGAGGGAGGGAGGGGGAGAGCGAGAGAAAAGGGAAGGGGGGGAAAAAAGCCCCAGCCCACACCCTATCAAATTCTTTTAAAAAAATTGTCATTTATCTGTGACACATGATTATTACCCATCTGTTTCTTTACACCCACTCTTGCCTCTTGCAGTTTGTTGTCTAAGATTCAACTGACTCAAATGAGCCTTATTAATAATAGAAATCAAATCTCAGTTTGCTAAATGGACATTTTGTGCTTTCTGACTAAGCCCAAAGGAGAGGGTGATCTGACATCCTGGTGGGAGCAAGTGATTGGAGAGGGCAGACCCACCTCCTTTCACATCTCGTGTGGGTCTAGATAAGGTACATGAGATGCATGTTTAACTTGTAGGGGTGGCCTCGTTAAAGAGATTTAAACATTGGGTTTCATTTTAAGAGAGAATTGGTAAACATTTGAAGTGAAAATGGTTTAAATGAATAAGAGCAGATAACTGAAGTTTCAGACTTGCAAGTCACTCTGGCCACTAGCATATGAATAGTCTATGTTAGATTTTACAGAGGGATTTAGATCATTTAATATTTTTGCTTTATAGTGTTATACCTTCATTCTGTGGTCAGGCTTTTGTCAGTGGGTAGGGACCAGGATCTTGCCCAGACCTGTCTCTTTCTCCACCCCTGTCCACTTTTCATCTCCTCACCCCCAATAGCAAAACTTTTATTACTGTAATTATAATATATTTTGGAGAACCACTAAAATCTTTGATCCAAATCCATACAGTTTGTGGGAAGCCATATATTCTTTCTTGTCCAATTGCTTAACCTTATTAGAAATCTGCTTGTTACATACAAAATACATAGCACTGCCTGAAATGACACACCGCATGTGGTTTCTGGGCTTGAGTTGAATTGGCTTTAAATGTTAGGATGGTGCTAGAATTAGCACATCACAGTATTCTCTAAGAGTTTACAGGTGATGAAATATGTTTATTGGGACAGAAATCAGTGTTAAGGTTTCAAAAGTATGTTGGAAAGACTTTGATAAATGTATTTATCTACCTTGTTCTACAAGAAATCTAAGACAGTTTATTGGTCTTTATAAAACATAGCAAGGGAGACTAACTTAGAAATAAATGAGAAAGAAAAAAGACTAAGGGTAGAGATATAAAATGGTATTAAGAATGAAACTAATACAAAAATACAAGCACAAGACCCTCTGTACTTGTTATGAAGGTAAACAAATCCAACTCTAAACTTTCCAGCATGTCACAGAACAGGAAGAACTGACCAACCCATGACTCACGTGTTTTATTTATTTATTGACTCATCCACCCATTTGTTCATTTAACAAACACTCAGTGAGGCCCTACTATGCGCCAGGTTCTGTGAAGGGTGCAGGGACAGACATGGTCTCTGTCTTGACAGCACTTAATGATGAAGGAGAGGAACTGACCTCCATCAGGAAACCCTATAAATGAATGCATAATCACAGATTATTCTGAGAGCTGTGCAGAAAAAGCATGAAACGCAGAATGTCACATGTCCAGAACATAAAACACAAAACAAAAATGTAAGTGAAGCACAATAGTTCTTGATTCTAAGAGCAGAAAAGAACTCTTCGAAAATATAACATTGTTTGGAATGGTGGCTTCAATCATGTTCTTGTCAGATACAAGGAGGGATTCATACTGCTGTTTGTTTGTTTTTTTTTTTTTTTAAGATTTTATATATTTATTTGACACAGAGAGAGAGAGATCACAAGTAGGCAGAGCAGCAGGCAGAGAGAGGGGGAAGCAGGCTCCCCAATGAGCAGAGAGCTCAAAATTCGATCCCCGGACGCTGAGATCATGACCTGAGCTGAAGGCAGAGGCTTAACCCTCTGAGCCACACAGGTGCCCCAAACCACTGTTTTTAAAGTGTTCCTCAGTGTGAGTTTATACCACTCATGGGTCTCTCAGACCACTGGGGTTCTGAGATCTATACATTTTGAGGGATCTGTGTCTTCTCTAAAATTAGCAGTTTTACTTCAGTGATAATCTTAAATAATTAATAATAAAATATGTTCTGGATTATCTTGATGGCAACTCCAAAGCCAATGGTGGGGCCTGTATTTGCCTCTGTGTCTTTCCATGTGAGCCAGGAGCAGGCCTGGTGGCTCAGGTCATGAGGCAGAGAGGAGTTTAACTAGAGGTACATGGAGAGAACAGTGAGTCCACACAGGGCATAGGCTCGTCAGGCTCAGAAGAACAATTCCTGGGATCAGCACTATATTGTCAAGGACTGATGCTCTCATGCTAGTCGTACCTTCATAGTTACTGAGTTGCGGGAACTTATTAGCAGCAGGTGTTGTAGTGAAAACACAATGACAGAGTTCCTGTTGCTGGTTTCAGCAATAATTGGATTAGATCTAAATTTGATGCAGATTTAGTAACCCCCCCAAAACTACCTTGTGTCCAAAACAATGAGACCGGTAATTTGGTGTAATGACTGAGTGGAGCCAGACTGTCTGACTTCAAACTAAATTTTTTTTTTTTTTACTTACTAGCTGTGAAACTTGGGCATTATTCAACCTCTGTGATCCTCAGTTTCTTTTGATAATATGGAGATAAATATGTGGTATTGATTTCATAGTGACATTGCAAGGATTAGAGTCACTACATGTGAAAGACTTGGAGCATATAGTAAAGTTCAATAGATGTTAGTGATGTTAGTTACTATTTTTATTAGTATGAAATGGTACCCATTTATGTAGGCATCTCAGGATGGTTTTTAGAAGAATTTTAAATTATGGTACCTGATTATCTTCAGTGTAGCAAACACATTTTTGAGGTTACTAATATTATTTTGCATACATGCTTTATTAGTTGCCCGCATTGGTATCGTTGAAGCCAAAATTCAGATAGTGATAACATGTAGTAACTAGACCTGAGACTATATCTTTCTGTTGATAAACCCAAAATGGAGTTTTAATTCCAGCAAAACAATATCATCTGTTGCAAGAAGATAACTTTATGTATTTGACATTTTAAAGTTTTACAGTTGCATTTATTCGTAAATTTATTTTGGCATTTTAGTTATATGAAAGCTATAATGCCTGGGTGTTTTTAACTGGTCTTTATGAGTGTACTTATTTCAGTTACATTTTAATAAATGTGACTTAGGTCAACCTTGGGTCCATGAGAAATTTTTTCCTTCAAAAGAGATTTCTGTAGGGGCGCCTGGGTGGCTCAGTGGGTTAAGCCTCTGCTTTCAGCTCAGGTCATGATCTCAGGGTCCTGGGATCGAGCCCTGCATCAGGCTCTGCTCATCAGGAAGCCTGCTTCCCCCTCTCTATGCCTGCCTGCCTCTCTGCCTAATTGTGATCTCTGTCAAATAAATAAAGAAAATCTTTAAAAAAAAAAAAGATTTCTTTATAGTGTAAGCATTTTGGACTGTGGACAAGGACACACCCAAGATGTTTGAAATAGAATTTTGAATCTCTAGAAGAGAGATTGCAGCCATAATATTTTACTCTGTATACCTTGGCTACCATAGTTTTAGCTTGAAAGAATTTTAAGACCATAATACCAAAAACTGCCTCTGCTTACAACAACATCAAAGTCCCCCAGACTCGTAGAGCACCTATGGAATGGCAAGGTTCCAGCAAAGATTCATCCTGACCTAACTTCCATGGTAAACTACATCTGAGAGGTTTGCCAATGTTACTGAAGGAGGTAAAAAGAGTCTTTGTGAACTGCAATGTTCAATTGTATAGTTTAAAATGAGTTTACTGATTATATTGTTCAAATCTGTTTTTTTTTTTTTTTTAAGATTTTATTTATTTATTTGACAGAGATCAGAAGTAGGCAGAGAGGCAGGCAGAGAGAGAGAGGGGGAAGCAGGGAGAAGAGAGCCTGACATGGAGCTTGATCCCAGGACCCTGGGATCGTGACCTGAGCTGAAGACAGAGGCTTTCACCCACTGAGCCACCCAGGCGCCCCTGTTTTTAAGTTTTCTTTGCACTTAAGTGATCTGTCAAAGATTATAAAATTATGCCAGTC